TATAAATACAAATATTAAATATAATTTTTAAATATACATGTATATAAAGTATTTTATCTAGAATATATATCTAATAAAATATAAGATATGACATACTAAAATAAAGAATAATTCGCTTATACGGAAATATAGTGTGTTTTCGTATATAACGCATCGTTATAAATTGGCAGAAAAGCACGTCAATGTTTAATAAAATGAATGTCGCGGTTTTCCCTCTTTCATCCGTCGTGACATTCAAATGTAAATTTAAACCCATCAAGAAAAATATTCTCTCTTTCTCTCTCTATCCATTATTATTGTTCTCCAGTCGATAAAGACATCGACTGCGGCATATAATTTAACGAGTGTCACTTATTGTTATTGATTCCTTCAATCATTGTACCGCTAATGATCATTTCAGTTCCGCGTATTTTATGTCAAAGGATTGTTTTCCATCGCGTCGTTCACGGTTTCTAATCCTCGTCAGGCATATCCGAGTAAGCCCGTAGGGGGAATCGGGATAAGATCCGGTTTTAAGTGGACCGGCATCTCCGGACACGATGCGCATCGAATCGATTTTTGATCGTGATTTATATACAGGAAGCTCGCGACGAGTCGACGCGATAATACCGTGACGAATCCATTTATAAATCCATTTAAGCGTTTATTTTTTATCAGGCAGAATAAACATATTTGTGTTTTCGAAAATCATGAAAGATAGATGCTGTGAGAAGTGGTAGAAATTTAAGTGATGAGATAAATATTCCATGTTACAGATTCCTGAAAAGCAATCGTTATGTAATGGACGCTGTAAATTACTCGTGAATATGATGTCGAGACTTATTTAACATTGTGATTCTACGGTCTAATTGTGGTCTTTCCTCCAGTGGGATGAAATTAGGATATAGGTAATGTATTATACATATATCGTCGCATTTTTTACGTTGTAAAATATTATAAAAATTTGCAAATTTGAAGTATATTACAGCATGAGGAAGAAATGCGCGTTATGTGCGATGTAATATATCTTATTCGTGTCTTCTCTTAAACATGCGGTTGCTCTATCTATCTATCTATCTTTCCCTCTCGCACGCGCGCGCGTTTGTAAGTATAATTCTCGTCTTGATCGCACGCCGCTGATCAACTAACGAACAGAAAATATAAATAGAAGCCGGCCGTGCGGGAGATAACTGCTACCGACAGGCCGGTCGAGTCTCTGTATTAAAGTGATTTTTTTGCGACGTCCACTGAATAGCTTTCGAGTTCCAAACAGTAGCGCCGCGCCGGCACGGCTGTCGGATCGTGGGTTGCGATTGAATATCGCGCGTTAATAATATTATCTCTCTTCTCAGAGGACGCACTATATCTATTCAATACCGTAGCATTCGAAATGATACAGGTATTGTAACATATCGACGGATCTTAAATTCGAAATTGTTAAGACGAATTCAATTTAATCCATTGACACATTGTAGAATTTGTTATGACATCTCGAAGGATACTTAAATCTAAACATTTGAAAAAGTTTACTTGTGTCTCTATACTCAAAGCTTGTAACAAAATTCCCTGATCCTCCGCGTACTTTTCTTCAAAATTCCAGATAAAGAGAATATTTTAAAGATCTTTTGGTATACAAATTTCTAAAATAAGTTTTTTTTTTTTGCTGTATGCGTTTTCTAATGCTTCTCTCTCATACAAAAGAAAAACACAGAGCCACTTAAGTGCTATATCTTTCCAGGAAATAGACACCATGGAAAATTATGTTTGATCTTTTAAAATTTTCATTATGTGTATTCGAATTTTTTAATTTACTCCCTTTTTACGTCATTTTCAATTATGCCGCGAGTAACGGAAAAAAAGTTTCGCTTATCTCTATTTAGGAATAACTGGATACTGGGGAGGTCTTGGGGAAAAGAGCCACGTCACACCCGTGACGGACGATTCGGGGATACGAGATCCGAGATCCGACGTACGTGTATTTAACGAAGCTTCCTGAAGAGCAAACCAACTCCACCGCACGCTCTAGAGTCCTTTGTTCTACATCGTATGACTAACGGGCGATGTAGCTCGCATTCTTCGCCGCCGTCGAGCGAGACCCCTCGAGGGACGCCCAGTGTATGCCAGGTGAACCGGGCCCCACCGATCCCGCGCGCCCGGCCCTCGGCCCCCGGTTTCAACGTAATTAGTCATCCTCCTCCAGGTTGCTCGACACATACACGTACACGCATCCTGCCAAACGATCAAACGAATAACGGCAGAGAAAATAACGTGCACCCGAAACGCTATGTCATCGTGAGAAAGAGAAAGAGCGGGGTTCCATCTAACATAAATAAATTGATGAAGAGAGCAACGTCGTAAGCAACGACGCGCGCGAATACAGTGAATCCTCTGTAAGTCTAGCCGTCTAGCGTAATCGCGCGTCGAGGTTTTTCAGATTGGCGTGCTGGATATGTGTAAAGCTACCAGAAGATGTCAAGAATATATGCGTCACGGCTCTCAGTATCTCAAATACGTCGAAAATCATATATTGTACGCAAAATTGAAAACGCATTGCATATTTCGAGAGAGTATGAGTTTATTCTACGCAATGATTTTAATTAACGATGTAAAATCATATAACACTGATGGATTAAAAATTGAAAACTTTGCAAAGTTCTAAGAGGGGATGCTTATATCTATATAATTAGGGACATATGAAAAACTGGTACAATTTATTTGAAATTTTAACATACAATTTTAAAGTCTAAGTCTATATAAGAATAAAGAGTAATTAATATTATATTGTACAAAGCGTTTTATATTGTATGTCAAATTATAAATTATAGAAATTAATATATTTTAATTGTGTATGTATGAGTACGCAATATGTAATGTAATAATCCTTTATTAGTTGTCCATCTTTCCTGCCATCTTCCGCCTGACTGCGATTTGACATTAAAATAAATAAGACGACGAAATTATGTTAATTATGATTATTCTGCGTCTGACGCAAAAATCGATCCATCACGTTGTCATTGTTAAAAAAAACTGCTGTTTACCCTTAAAACCTAAAGAGGCACGATATTATACATATTACTAATATATGGAAATATATAAAAGCGAAAGCGGATATGCTTATCGCAACGAGAGAACGGATAGCTAATCTGCCTCTATTTCAAACAATGATGTGCCAATCGTTTAAAGTTTAAAGAGTCTCGTATTTAGATCGTAAACGTATAACAATAGAACGAGATAGGAAGCAACGGCGGCAAAATATATGTATACGACAACGTGTACTGCGGTAGAAAAAGAATGTCTCTCCCGACAAACGGCTGACGGGAAAAAGCAGGCAAAGACGCGTCGCGTCGCACCACTTTGGCGTCGTCGGTCGTCGGGGATCAGGCGCCACCGCGTGTCCTCCTCCGTCCGCAGCAGGGTCTCACCGACTATTCCGCCGACAAACCGTACGTACGCACACTGTTTCACACGCTACCGAGATATACGCACACATACATACAATATACAAACGCCTGCGTCCTGCGTCCGTCCGGTGACGGCTGATGCCGTCGTCGAAGTCGGAGATGCTCGTGTATACGACGGCCTCACGGCGTCGTTAATGTAAGTGTGGCGTGCCGCGTGCCCCCCTTGAAAAAATAATCGAATTCTGGTGCGCCGCGTTGGCTCGATTATCTCGACACACGAAATACGATAAACTTTCGCCGCCGAGTATATAGACGAAAAATTTCGTCTTATGTAGAAAAAAAGTTGATAAGGCTCTGAAAACTCCAATAAACAAAAACACATGTTTTTTTTCTATCAAAAAATGGTTTTGTTACATCTCTAAGCGATGCACACCGGCACACAGTAAAACGAGCGCGCGCAATCGGCAAGAGGGGAGAGGGGACTCTTTCTTTTTAAAACTATCTGAGAGAGAAAGAGAGAGAGAGAGAGAGAGAGAAAGAGAGGCGAGTGCCTTCCTGCCTGCCTGCGGGTTGCGGGTTGCGGGTGCGCGCCGGCCACGGCTGGCTCCGAGACGACCGGCGGCCGGCGGCGCCGATGTAGAGAGAGAGTAGAAGAGTGTAGAGTGTAGAGTTTGTGAGTCAGTAGTCAGTCAGCCGTCGGACAGCGACGTGGTAGCACGTGGTTTTGCGTCGACGCTCCGTCTCTTGCCTTGTCGCTCTCTCGCTTCGCTTTCCCTCGTCGCGAAATTAACGTAATCGTGTTCTCTCTCTCTCTCTCTTTCGTTATGCGCGACGCGATAACCGGACGGGCGAAAGCGATCCATCGATCGTGACGATTACGGCGACGACGACGACGACGACGACGACGTCGACGACGATAATCCCTGATGATCTAATTTGGGAGAAACACATGTGCTCCCCGATCCTCGGAGGACGATCTTTCTTTTCAACGTATACGAAGCACGTTTTGTTGCCGGTCGGCGGCCGAGATTCGCCGCGCTTTTCGTCCTCGAGATTCGAGCTGATTTTAGAGTCGCATCCTTGCGGAATGTTGCCGCGCGACGCGTTAACCCTCGTGACGTTGTTGACAAGTCTCGCTGCTGCCGCCGCCGCCGCCGCCGCCACCACCACCAGAGGCCCATTCGCGGATTTAGATTCGGAAGATTACGAGGTGCTCGCCGACAACGAGGCGCGATCCGTCGATAAAGGTAACGTATCTTCATAAGTAAACGAAGCGAACGTTCTTTTATAACAGGTGTACGAAAAGGATCTCTACGACACACGCGTCGCTTCCACGTGCAAGTTATATCTTAATCTCATTGTTATTATACTTGTCGTATACGCGATTTTGTCACTCTTCC